GGGTGGTGGGATGTGAGGGGTTCCCCCCATCCCCCGGGATGAGCACGGGAGCTGGGCACTGCCTTTCCCAGCAGCACCTCGGATCCCCTTCTCCTCAGCAGGGTTTAAAGGTAGTGCTGGACCCTGAACTGTGGGTTCAGGGCAGAGCTGGCAGAGCTGGCAGCCCTTTTTGTACCCCTATGGAAACCCGGTTTAAACCCAGCTTTCAGGCTTTCCTATCCTAGGCTCCCCTCAGAGCCACTCCAGGGTTAGAGTCCCCATCTACCCTCACACTGGGGACCAAGCCCCTTCTCCTGCATGGGGACACACTGCTGCTGACAGTGGGTCAGCCCTTCCAGAGCATCCCAGGCAGTGACCCAGGGCTGTGAGTCCCTTTGGCTCTGCCCTCTGCCAAACCATGCCCACTAACTACAGGGCAAGGTGACTCCAAGCTGCGCCTGCCTTCGAATGAAGGAAAACACAGAAGAGTTTTGTCCCTGCCAGGAAATTCCTAGGATATTGGGACATGACATAAAAAAGCCAGCAGTGGCCTGGTGAAAGCCAGCAGCCTCAGGGCTGCCTTTCCTTCTCCGTTGTTGTTTGGAGGCGTCATCTGGCTCACCCCTCTCCTCCTCTTTCCTACAAATTGCTTTCTCAGATGACTTTGTGACTGCAAGAGCCATTAAAAGTTGCCTCTGCCCCTTCCAAGGGCTTCCTGAGATACTTGAATTTCTCTGCTGCTGGTGATCCTGTTTAACATTTATTCAGGAACTCATTTAGCCCCACAGCAGTCCACTGGAATGGAAAGCAGATGTCTTTGGAGTTGTTTTACACATTCTCAGCGCTGCCCAGGGCCCTGCTGTCCTTCATTACCCCAAAATACTCTTGCTGAGTTCCAGATGGAGAACCTGATGCTTGCAGCCACCCAGCACCTTTGGACCTTGCTGGAATTGGGCTTATCTGGAGCCATCCATGGCCAATGGAGGAGTTTGCAGAGCCCCGGCTGCGGCACCTACCCTGGGACCCCAATAGCATCCTCTCCCTGTCACTATGATCTGCTTTCCAGCAGTGAGCTGGGAGTTTTAAACCTTCGCACCAGACATGTTTTAGACATATGGAAATTCCTCTTTAATACAGAAGATCTTTCTCAAGCTCTAAGGGTTTCGGGTTGGCATTTGTGTAAGAGTAGTTCCAGAAGAGCGGAATGGATGGTTTTTATTTGTTTGATTATTTGCTTTGGGGGTTATTTGGTAGAAATGGACTAAAGCCCACGGAGGGCAGTGGTGGGAGCCAGGACTTGGGCTGCTCCTCCCCATACCCAGCCAGACTGCTGAGCAGCAGCCTCCTGCTTGAGCTGCTGCCCTCCTCTGCCTGCAGCAGACAGCCACAGACTACCTTCCCCACTCCTCCCGCAGGGTTTTAGGGTGAGAATCCATAAGAATTTACATCTGTGCATACTCCCTCTGGACATCGCTGTAATGAGTTTGCTTCAGCCTCAGCAATCTCCCCATATCCCCTGTGCTGGCTCCAGCATCGCTTGCTCCCTCTCCTGGCATGTGCTGCGATCCCAGGCTGGGGGAACCCGGGGTCGGCGCAGCCCTCCAAGGGGCTCCTCCACCCCATCGAGATGCTGTATTTACTTCCCTTTCTAAGAGATTTTGCATTTGAATTCATTTTTATGCTGTTTTCTCTTTTTTTCTCTAAGAGATTAACCAGCAATTCAAACTAACCCGAAGTGACTCACGCTCTACAGACGCACTGTGCTCGCACATGGCTCGGATCCACAGGGGAGGAATCTGGCGCCGGGTGGCATTCCTCCCAACCAAAGGCTGTGGTCCACGCACAAAACACTGACAAAATAACCCCGCAATGCCCGTTTGAATGGAGACAAAATATGATGAAAAAGTAACTTTCATATGTCTGTTTTCTCACATATACAGCCAGGGTTTGCACTCGTTTTAGCAAATTGGTTTACAGATAATTAATAATTAGCACAGGGCAATTTCCTTATGGAAGCCAGCTCTTATCTTGGCAGAGACTAAAATGCTTTTTCTTCCCGGTGACCTTTGCTTTGCTGACTTCTTTGGGAGCATCTTGTGGTGAATAATGGAAAGTGATGTCGTGTTCAAAGAAGACGTGGTTGCCAAGGGAGCTGTTAGTCCCCGTCTGTTTATAACCGCGAGACAGGAGCCCGCTTTGAAAGATGGCAGTTGACGGTGGAAAGCACTAGAGCAATATTGTAGCACCACAGCACTTCAGCTGCTGCTGGAAAAGAAGGTTCCTGTTATGACAAAGGCTGAAAAGGAGCACTAATCCTAAAAAAGAGGCTGGAATTGAGCCAGAAAGTGAGATTTCAGCAGTCTGAAGTAGCGAGGTGTGCATCTCACTGCTATCTGGGACAAAGATGGGCTGGAATCATTAAATACTGCATTTCGCAGTTCATTTTAAGCCAGGCAGATAGGCCAGGTTTGCTGTGATTTCTATGGAGAGGCTATGATTTGAGGCATTTTTGGGCATCACAATCCTGGAGCAGCCTCTGTGTGTGTTTTCCAGCAGCATCCCTAGCCCGTGCCTCTCCAACCTGCCCGATGGGACTGCAATGTCATCATCTTTGGGATCTTTCTGACTCCTGAGCAATCTCTGCTTTCTTCTCCAGGGCCCCAGATTTAAACTGCAGAGCTCCAGCTAAAGATACCAATAAGGAGGGGTGGTCATCACTGACAGATGGGTGGCAAACTCCATCCCATGGCCTCTGAAAGAAGTGACTGAGATGGAGACAGGGCCATGTAGTTTGGAAAGGGTCCGATTGGTTCCTTTCTTGTCTTTTTGTTGCTTCTGTATTGATTCCCATTCCACATCTGATGGATGCGCACCTGCATTTAATCAGGTCATGCAGCTGCCCTTCTGCAGCTGTTCAGGATTCAGGCAGAGGTGCAGGAATTAGGCGAGAGGATTTAATGATGTCCCAGCATCCCTGCCTGCTGTTTTTCCATGATGCAAACCTGGAAAGAGAGAGGTCGCCAGGCAGTGTGATGGCTTGGGAGCATTTTTGGGAGGAAGATCAAACTGTGATGGTCCCATAGCTCCTGTCCCCATGCAGAGGGACCTTTGTGAATACAGTATTTAGCTGCTGAAACTTTTTGGAAGGATGTAGCATCCACAAACACAGGTTGCTGTGGGTCATGCCCACTGTGTGTGCTGGGTTAATTACCAGGCATGGCCATGGTTTGGAGAAGCTGCTAAGCTGGAGAGCTGTTAGGTGCAGGAGGGCTGTCAGGCAGCAACAGTTTTATAGCAACAGTATTGGGGTCACATTTTGACTTTTCAGCCTGTGTTTCTGAAGCCTTTTCTTCCGGCTCTTGCCTGGTGACGGTGGCATCCAGCAGGGATGGGCTTATAATGGTCAGGTTTAGCATAACACCTGAGCTCGGGCTCGGCAGTTCAGGTTGGCTTTGAGAAGAGTTTGCTCTGCTTGTCCTGTCCCTCGAGGGGTTCTCATTCTGGGTAGGGATGGGTTCACCTCTGTGTTCAGTGCCTTAGGGCTGTGAGCTGGGGTGCACGATGTGAACGGTGGGAGCCCACAGCCATCTCCATCAGCAGTGGCTCCTTGTCTCCATGGGAACTGGCAGCAAGAGTATCCTGTGGTCCAGTCAGAGAGGAGGAGGAGGACAGGAGATAGCTTCCACCTTCCCCAGGGGCTGCAGCAGGGCAGCATCTGGCTCTGCTCACCCAACTCTGGTCTCCCAGGGGATGGATGTAGGCCTGCTGCAGGCTCTGAATATGTGTGCACACTGATGCAGGGGGGCCCAGAACTCCTTCTGATTGATCCCTCCAAATCCAGGCCCTCTCAGTCATATCCCATGGGCTTTTTCCCTACTATCCGTGAACCCAGGGACATGGAGATGGCTGCTTTTTTCCTTTGAGAGCCCAGAAAGAAGGGAAAGTTCCCAAATGGGCTCCTCCTGTCCTGGTCCCAGTGCCTTGTCAGCAGGGACCACAGCATCCTTCTGTCTCTTTGCCTCAAAACCAGGTGAAGTATGCATCCTAAAGGGAGTCAAATCCTCTGGCAAGGTAAGGGCTGGACAAATGTCAGTGCTGCAACTTGGGGTCACAAATTCACACCAGAGCTTTCAGCTCTCCTTCCTTCTCCACTCTTCTTCCCTGCTTTTATTCCACCCTCAACCCCTGGCTGCTCTATCCCATTCCCTCCTCTCTCATTCAGCCGGTGACCCCAGAGCTCCTGGTGAGCCCCAGCAGCCAGGATGGGGACCTGGGCTCCGAGTGCCCAGAGGACAGAGGGAACTGGACGGGGCGGCTGGATTTCCTCCTCTCCTGCATTGGATACTGCGTGGGCCTCGGAAACGTCTGGAGGTTTCCTTACAGGGCTTACACCAATGGAGGAGGTACTTTGGCATCCTTTGGAGGGGACACATCTCCCCCCCTCCCACTGAGCTGGGCTGGTGGGATGTTTTAGGGGTTTTCTCCTTGCTTCTTGCAGGAGCTTTCTTGGTTCCTTACTTCATCATGCTGGCCATCTGCGGGATCCCCATCTTCTTCATGGAGCTGTCACTTGGCCAGTTCTCCAGCCTGGGGCCACTCGCTGTCTGGAAGATAAGCCCTCTCTTTAAAGGTGCGTGAGTGAAGTCCAGAGCCTCCTCAGGGCTGCTGGAAGAGCTGCTTGATGAGGACATGGACCAGCAGCAGCAGCCTGTGATCCTCAAAGCTCTTCTTAGAATCAAAGGTTAAATCCTGGGGAAGGTGGAGCAGGCTGGACCTCTGGGTTAGCTTAGTAGCTGCAAGATACGTATGAGATCTGTCAGTCTTTGGAGGCTCCAGTTGTCATGTTATATGAAAATTAGTAATCCAGCTAGTGTACAAAACACAGCCCTAAAGCTGAGCAATGGCTGTGAAAGACAAAGGTGAGAATAAAGTGTTCAAAAAAAGGTCAAATCAAGCACTTTTACTCTAGACATTAAGTTGGAGTAAAATCATCCGTATGATGAAATAGATGATCAGTTCAGAGAAGGCTTGTCCAGAGAGTACAACGGCAATAAGGTCACCCCACCAGGTGAACCTCAGGCTGGTTAAACATTTGGCTGCTGAGCTCCAGTGTCTGACCCTGGTTTTGGATGTGCTCTACTCTGGAGACATGGCTCACTCCTTCTTTACCCTCTCCTTCCTCCAGGCGTTGGCATGGGCACGATCCTCATCGTCTCCCTGGTGGCCATTTACTACAATATGATCATTGCTTACGTTCTCTTCTACCTCTTTGCATCCCTCACAAGCGACTTGCCCTGGCAGCACTGTGGCAACTGGTGGAACACCGACCTGTGCCTGGACCACCACGTCATGAAGGCGGGGAACACCTCCTTCCCCGTCAACATCACCAACACTGTCAGCCCCAGCGAGGAGTACTGGAGGTAAAGAGCTCAACCTGGCCATGAGGGCATAGAGTCGTTGGGTTGGAAGGGACCCTCAAAGATCACCTAGTCCAGCCCCCCTGCAATGAGCAGGGACATCTTCAACTAGATCACTTTCAGTTGAAATTTACCTTTCTTCTTGTTTTAGGAAGTTTTCTAGTGTTCCCTGTAAGTCACTCTATACCTACAGACATGGTTGGCATCCAACGGGGTATGGGGATGGAATGAGGGGTGAAGGGTCTGTGCTGCACATCTTATGGCATGGTGGGCACTCATGGTTGGCGTTGTGGATGCAGCGATGGGCTGTCACAGTCAGCTGTGGGCGATACCTCAGTTTAGGCATTGGGATCATGTCCCTGGGATGTGGGAGGTGTCCATGATTTAGCAAGGCTTTGCTGGCCTGGCGATACACCAGGCTGAAATGCATCCCATGCCTGGACCGGCTGGGAATTTGCTCTCAAACCTCCAGACATCCCCTGTGGGCTCTTTAATACATGGTGAAGAAATCATACCAACTGCTCCCCTTTCCTCATCCATTAGCTGCCTCTCATCACTGGGATTTTTGACAAGGCTATTTTTTGAGCAGAGGCATTGCTGGGTTCAGAGAGACCTCTGGCAGAAGATGGGGGGTGCCCATGGCTGCTCACTAGCAGTTCTCCTTTCTCCCTAGCCGGTATGTCCTGCACATCCAAGGGAGCTCTGGGATTGGAGATCCCGGGAGGATCCGCTGGAACTTGTGTCTGTGCCTGCTCCTTTCTTGGACTATCGTCTATCTGTGCATCCTAAAGGGAGTCAAATCTTCTGGCAAGGTAAGAGCTGAGCAGTCTCTTCTGGGGGGATCTACAGTGATGCTCACCAGTGCCTGCAATTCTCTGCACATCTGGGAAAGTGAGACCCAGGAACGGCATCCTGGGGATTGTTCCCACACCCAGACTGCCAGGGCTGACACCACTGGTCCTGCTGCGTCCCAGGGACCGGGCACTGCAGGGAGATGCAGTGGAGGGCTGGGAGGGAGCACTAATGCTGTGCTCCCACTCCCGGCTCTCCCAGCGGGCTCTGCTCCCCCGCAGGTTGTGTACTTCACCGCCACCTTCCCCTACCTCATCCTGGTGATGCTGCTCATCCGTGGCGTGACCCTGGAGGGGGCCTGGAAGGGGATCCGGTTTTACCTCACACCCCAGTTCGATCACCTGCTGTCTTCCAAGGTAAGCAGCGTCTTGTGCAACTTGTTCAACACACAGAAATGAACCTTTTCTCCTGCACCTCCAGCGTGCAGCAGAGGCGGGTCCCTTACTCGGGTGCCTTTTCTGGCCACCCCCTGACCTAAAGTTCTCTCTCTTGATTGCTCCTAGACCAAAAATATTTGCTTTTGAGCAATCTGTCTTTGTTCCACACCTTGTCTATAGGGCTTTTCCCACCTGGCCCAGCCTTATGCCTGCATTTCTGGCTCTCCATGTAGTAGAAGGCATGCTCACCACCTCCTTTGGGTACCAGGACCGTGGGCAGGATTAGCCCTTGTGATGGGTGGTTAGGGTCGCCTGTGCTGGATTTGGCTGTTCTGTTTTTCTCAGTGTGCAGAGCAGGGATTTTCCTGGAGTCAGCAGTGCTGGTAGCAGAGAACACCCAAATTTTACAAAGGCGTTTAAATGCCATGCTGGGCTGGCTCTGACATGCTCTCCTTAGCACTTCCACTAGCCAGCTAGTGGAAAGGTAAAGGCAAAGGCCCTGTGAGCTTTGTGTGCCTGGAGGGATGGGGAAGATGTTCTGGGGGCTGTGGGGAATGTATCTCTCTTCCTCAGGAGGAGATTCCCAACCCCTGCTCTCCTCAGACCTGCTTCCTTCCCCCAGGTGTGGATCGAGGCCGCTCTGCAGATTTTCTACTCCCTTGGGGTAGGCTTTGGGGGCCTCCTCACCTTCGCCTCCTACAACACCTTCCATCAGAATATCTACAGGTAGGAGCCAGCTACTGTCTTGTAAAGACCATGGGTTGGGGGGAGCCCTTGGAACCTCAGCTGGTGGGTTCAAAGCCGGCAGCAGCACATGGTGCAGCACATGGTGCAGCACACTACCACACAGCTCCTTACCCGAGCACCTTACAGGTACCTGGCAGCTTGCACAGGCTTGGGACGGAGGGGTCTGTAGAAGAAAGTTCTTCTAAGCATCAAGGCACAACATCTGGCTGAGAAGTTTTGGGTTATAGGAGCTGAATGCTGAAGCATCTTCTTTCTCCTCTGTAGAGACACCTTCATAGTGACCCTGGGCAATGCCATCACCAGCATCCTGGCAGGGTTTGCCATCTTCTCTGTTTTGGGGTACATGTCCCAGGAGCTGGGGGTCCCTGTTAACCAGGTGGCAAAAGCAGGTGAGGCTAAAGAAAGAACCTTTCTCCTTCACCCTCTGCCTGGGTGCACTGAGGAGCATCCCTTCTAGGGTGGAAGGCACCTGAGGGTGTCAGTATGAGGGATGATGCTATGTGCTCAGCTGGCCAAGGGGAGGGAAGAGCAGGAGACTGGTTCCTGCCGTGCAAACTTGGAGCAACACCAAGTGATGTCTAATAAAGGTCTGAGCAAGGAGCAGGCTGGTTCTTCTGCACCTCTCACCCTCTGCTTCAGGACCCCTCTTACCCCTCAGTTCCCTGCCGTGGTGCTGCTCTGCTGGACTCTCCTCTCCTCCATCCCCCTATGCCCAGTGCTGTCACTCCCTTTTTACCCTGCTGTCCTTTGCCTCCCCTAGGTCCTGGCCTGGCTTTTGTGGTCTACCCCCAGGCCATGACAATGCTCCCTCTTTCTCCATTCTGGTCTTTCCTGTTCTTCTTCATGCTGTTAACCTTGGGCCTGGACAGCCAGGTAAGGACAGAGCCCATCGAGCTAGCCGCGGTGCCCGAGCAGCCCAGGGGCTCAGGGAACCCTCTTCTCCTTTGCATGCAGTTTGCCTTTATGGAGACCATCGTTACAGCAGTCACAGATGAATTTCCCTATTACCTGAGGCCGAAGAAAGCTTCATTCTCAGCTATTGTCTGCATTGCCCTCTTCCTGATGGGGCTCATCCTCACAACAGAGGTAAGGCTGTGGAGTTGGTTGCATCATGTGGACTGACTAGTCTCATTTTAGGGAGAGCTGAGGGCAGAAGCCAAATTTGCAGAGACACCTATATTCGTATCAGCTAACAAGGTGTAAGAGGAACAACTGATGAGCTTGGGCTTCCTGGGGCTGTGACGTCCATGTGGAGCGACACAGCATTATTCCCATCTCTTCACCTACCCTAGAAGAATGATGTCTTCTGTGGAAGCCTGACTGCTCTCTTCCTCAGTGCCCACAAAAGGGCTAAGAGGACTGTGGCCCCAGAAGCAGGAGGACATGTGTGGGGGTTTATTGGGATGATGGTCCCAGAGATGCTGGCCACTGTGCTTTGCCTCCACAGGGTGGGATGTACTGGCTGGTCCTACTGGATGACTACAGCGCTGGCTTTGGTCTGATGGTGGTGGTGATCACTACCTGCCTCGTGGTGACACGTGTCTATGGTAAGGTGTCTGTCCCCACAGGGGCATGGGGAAGGGTGGGCTGTCTGTGTCCTGCTTCTTAGTCCTGCTCCCTCTGCCTCCTCCAGGCATAAAGAGGTTCTGCCGAGATATACACATGATGCTGGGCTTCAAACCAGGGCCCTACTTCAGAGCCTGCTGGATGGTCCTGTCCCCAGCAACAATGATGGTAACTGCTGGCATCTCCTGCCCCAGGGACCATTCTGGTCCTGCTGGGAGGTCTCCATCGTCTCCAGGCCCTTTTTGAGCATGAGCCCTTCAGAGGGCTCCAAGTTCTCATTTTCTTCCCATCCGCAGGCTCTGCTGGTGTACAACATCATCAAGTACCAGCCCTCCGAGTATGGCAGCTACCGCTTCCCTGCCTGGGCCGAGGTCCTGGGCATCCTCATGGGAGTCCTCTCCTGCCTGATGATTCCCATCGGCATGGTGGTGGCTGTGCTCCAAGAAGAAGGAACACTGTGGGAGGTAGGAGGTGCTGGGCCTG